GGGATACAGGTGAGGTTCTCACTTCAGAAGGCACTTAAAGGCAATGGGTACGCTGACTGGGTCTGCCGTCTGAAGTAAAAGCAGAGGTGCAAAATGAAGCGACAATAAAGAAAAATGCAACGAAACAGTCAAAAACCGGCGATATAAGGCCCTTAATTTGTGCGCAGATTTCGAGCGGTGGACGAGTTAGTTGCCATCATCCCGTAATCGATCACAGGCAAGGCAACGTCAACGTCGTGCTCTCTGACTCTGCCGCAAAGGTTAGAGCGCAGAGAAGCAGAGACCACACGCAGTTTCGAAATCTTTCAAAGGACCCAGCTGGGCGCGTGCCGTGAACGCGTCAAAACATGCTGGACGAACCGTCTCCCAGGGAGAGCAACTTGTCCACTTGAACCGCTATTTTTTCCCCGAATGGGAAATGCTTTGGATGAGAAGTATCAACAGCGCAGATAACACTTACGACATTATGTAGTCTGTCAATTACGAAAACCTCGCACATTAGCGATTCGGGCGAGTTGTCCAATTGCGGGAAACGTGCGATTACTTGTCATTACATGTTAATTGCAATTTGAATCGTGCCAAACGACCTCCTCCCCAGTTGCGCTTGGTATGATCACTTATTGTCGCGGGACAACTCGTCCAGGAAGGGGGTGGACCGCACCATACACAGAAAGGTGAACTAATGAAATTCCAGCTGCCAATGCCCGAATGGCTACCGCGATTTGAACCCCTCACATCCGGGACGACAATGCCTCGCCTACGTGGGAGTCAACGAGTGTGAGAAACCGGAACTCAATGAATGCTCACCGGATGCACGTTGTATTGACCTGGATTACCTTTACAAGTAAGTTTTGCAAAAATAATTTCTCACCTCAACGATGCCATTACTGGGGAATTTTCAAGATGCGAGTGCATATCCCCGTATGTAAACGCAGCTCCTGAGGGTGCAGTGCCTGGCTCGATTTGTACCATTGATTACTGCTCCGATGTACATTACTGCCCATTGAACTCGACCTGCAAGAATGTCGGCGATCAGGTGATTTTACGATACTTCGCAAATGAAAAGCAGAAAAAAATCTTAAACTTTCAAAAACTGTTCGATTTCAGGCCAAATGCGATTGTAACCCAGGCTTCGTCGATCTGCGCAAATCCGACAGGCTATCTGAGGTGAGCCTCTACTTACCGCTCATCATGCAAAGACTCTGTAGGAGTATATCTCCTGGGCTGGGCGGAGTTATTCGTGATGGGCGAGGTTTCCGCAAGCGTGGTCTCGCAAAAAAGTGTGTCTTCGTTAGGGCACGTCGTATTTCCGAGAGGGTCATTACTCACCGTGAGGAAAATGTTTTTCATTGTCGACATCCTCACTGCTCTCTTGTTTCGAATGTGCAGTACACCCGCAACCTCCCACCCGAGGAAGAATCCTCGGAGGGGGGGGGGTCTGATGGACGTACAGCATTGATGTTCAGTAGTCAGTTCTCGAATGGACCATGGAGTACCGTCTGGAACTGGGAAGCTTAGGAAAGGAAACAACTGAAAAAAAATCATCCAAAAGCTGACCAACCTGACTCTGACTGGACTTACCGTTTGCCCATCTCGGTCCGCGAACAGTCGTTGTACGAATCTCACGTGGTGGGTGACGTCGGTGGTGACACGTCGTTCGATCTCCTCCAGAGAGCCGTCCGACGAAACTGATGCCCCGTCGTCCAGATATGCGCCAAGGACGGCTGCATTGTCGTGACCCATCATCTCGTCCCTAAAATATTCCTCAAATGATTCCATTCCTTTTGTTGTCGAGAACGCTCAAGAAGGTCGCTACGAGTGTGCACCAGGCGCTTCCAGTTATGGGCGCAGAGGATATGGTGTAGTAGTCGGAGCCAAGGTATTTCACGCGCCACTTTGCACTTGCCTTCGCTCTTAACACCCTCGTCCACCGAAGCAACTTGAAGGTTGGAAATAGTTGAAGCAGTCTCAAAAATCGAGAAATGAACCTACCGGCATCGTGCACATAGGTACAGGCAGCACAGTAAAGTGAGCAGTAGGAAGAGCAGAGCCAGAATCGTCATCAGAATGAGGCCGGCATTTGACGGGGCAACCTGCAACATGAAGAATTCTGGTGTTAAGGTCAATTCCCTTTCTAGCACCTTTTGACCTTACAGGAGAGCTGAATCCGGCAATGCCAGCTCTTCTTCCTTGCATCCCTGAGCATCGCTCAAAGCCTTCAGTAAGGATAGGGCGACTCCCCCGCCCCCCCCCCCCCCCCCCCCCCCCCCCCCCCCCCCCCCCCGTGGCTCCACAAGGGAACCTACAGGAGCTACCCCTCTTTTGTTAGTGCGTGGACGTGACACCTCAGGACACCCCCACGCCTTTTTTGGTAATGCTTAGGCGGAGCCCCACAAGGTACCTGCAGGAGGCACGCTGCTTCCCGTGATGCGTGGGCGTGGCTCCACAAGGGAACCCTGTCAGGCTGCGCCCCCTTTTCGTGTTGCCGTTGAGTAGAATTTCAGGTAAAGATCTACACGGTAATGCGTTCAGAAGGAAACATTCCAGGATGTTCCCAACTTTGCCGAATTCCTTCGGCAGGCAAAAGTTGTTGGTGTGGACAAGACACAGGCGTTGCGGCGACGACGCGCACAATCTAGCTAGTATTTCCTGGCCAGTTGACTGGACATGAAGCAGCGCCACCAACCTGCCACATTGGAATCCTACGGTGCGAAGGAACACGTACGTAGCGCCGCCTCTGCAACGCCGTCTTAGCCCTAACAAACAAAAGCAGGTCAGACTTTTCCCCCTGGCAGGTCATAATAACAGTTATAGTCGCTGCGGAAGTTGGGGCTTTTGCTGGGAGGGGATGTTTGGTGAGGCGCCAGTCTGTTGTTCTTCACCAATCATAGAAGCTCGCGAGTGACCATAATTGGTGGCAAGAGGCTAGCGCGGCATCAAACCACGTCCCTTGAAACGCGCCAGTCATCCCAAGCCAAACCAAGACTGTACTTCCTCTATGTGGCTGGGTCATGCCAGCAGCCTCGCGAAGAGCCGCAAGGGATCCGAAAATTGCATGCATGACTAAAAGGGGCTGCTGTCTGCATCCTTTCCTTCACTGACATCCATGGGATCATCCTTATTGCTATGGTTTAATTGATCGTGGCGACAGGTCTGTGCGTTAGCCTTTCTACCCTTCCGGTCATACTTTAATTCCGGACTTTGAGTCACTCTCTTATGTTCCGTTTTCCACAGTCTAATCTACGGAATCAATGGCACGAATATCAATTACCTCGCAGAACTGTCCGGAATAGCCGTCGACACATGAGCAGGTGACGTTATTGGTGACACTGTCATGAATACAATCGCCATGACCGTTGCACAGACCGCAGAGCAATGCCGCACATACTCGGCCAGGTTCTGCCGGATTACCATCGGTATAGCTGAAACAAAAGTGTTTCACTCACAGACGTCAGACAACGAAGGTGCGTATTCTGCGTCTCTGCCATCGCATCTTCCTATAGGTCGACTTACCCATCAGGACACTTGCATTCGTAGCCATTCTTTAAATCCGTACAAATCGCAGCAGCACTGCAGTTATGCAGTCCAAGGGCACATTCGTTCACATCCGTATGTCGCATGCAAATCGCATCACCGAGTCCAGCCTG